CAAACCTTTACAACTTTACACTTGCTAGCTGTCCTTGCCCCCTTATTATATATAAGTATTATTCAAACATGAAGTATCTGCCTTTTTGCAATAAAGACAAATTGTACTCCCAACTACTTTTATTTATTTTTTTTTCCCAACTACTTTTATTTATTCATTAATCAACCCCTCACACTTTTTTTTTTTCATTTATTCTTTTATAGTAAAGTTTTGACATTAATTGAGTCGTTCATGAACTCGACTGAGTTCGTGTAGAAATGTTAGACGAACTCAACCTCTAGTAATTTCGACCCGACTTGACTCGATAAGGTTTGAGTTCGACTTAGCTCGTTTGGTAAATGAGCTGGTTTTGGACTTGTTTAGTGAACGAGTCGAGTTTAGTTCGTGTAGAAATGTTAGATCTTTTATGTTTCAGGTTCAACTTGCTAAGGCTCGAGTTTAGTTCGTTCATTATGATAAACAAGTCAAACTCGAGCTCGTTTATTGTTGCAACAAAACCTCAACTATCCAGAATTACAATTAGCTTGGCTCAATTTGTTCAAATCTCTACTCTCATTCGACTCGTTTAAAGCTCTAATCTCAATCAATTTAACCAATTAGTTTCTAAGATTATAAACTTGGATCCTGTCTTTATTTACCAATCGTATGATGTGTGACAGCTAAACTGAATCAACTGAACTCAGCATGCAAATAAAAATATATACCCTCTCCTAATCTTTTTAAATGTTATTTTGGCTTTATTGATCATTAATCAAATAAATAACGTTTTGAATCTTTTATATATATTTTTCCATTGTTACTCTCATTTAATTAATACGTTAATTACACATTTTGGGAGGAAAGTTGTTCAAAACGATGAGTTTTCTCTTATAAAAGAACATAAAAAGAGCTACAAGAATTAATTAATATTAATATGCTTTATATAAGATTACTATTGACAATAAAATATTTCTTAATTTATGTGTTAAGTACGACATTTAAAAAGAATATGAGTTAACCCAAGAGTGCTTGGATGAGATGGCTTGGGTCTCTTCCAGATTAACCAGTAGTCTCGTGTTCGAGCCCTAAGAATGCAGCAGTGTTAAAACTCTTGAGGGAGAGCTTTGCCGCCCTTGTGGTCCTACCCGGCTCGATTCCGGATTAGTCGGTTCCTCTGTGGATTTGGAAACTGGAAGGTCCCTGTATNNNNAAAAAAAAAAAAAAAAGAAAAAGAATATGAGTTAGTATATTTTTTCTACAATTTGTATTATTCTAAACTAGTTATTTACTTGAGTCGTCTAGATTTGGATAACATTTTATTAGGCCCAGTTGTTAGTCCACCTCTGCCTCCCTGGCCTGTGGTAACTGGGCTTGGAAAGAACTAGCGACTTTAATCAAATTTTCTGAATTTTCTTTTAATATTTACAATTTGCTTGGTCAAGAAATGCCAATCAAATGAATTAATAAATAATAAAATTATTAAATAAAATTAAAAGTATTGAAAGCGGCCATCTCGACACATGACACGGACAAGCATAAAATTAATTAATAGTACTACTATTTCATCAGTAAAAATAAAAAAAATAAAAAAGATTAAATGTTGGTGGGCCTCTTAATGAGCTTTGAAGTTAGGGTCGGCACTTCAATACCTCTGACCTTACTTTACACATTCATAGCTCAATTAATTTTAATTATATTAATTATATATTTGGGTCAATGAATATAGCACGAAACTTCTTCTCTTCTTTATTCTCAATTACCAACTTTTTTTTTTTTTTTTTTTTTTTTTTTTTTTTTTTTTTTTTTTAATTTTTAGATTGTATTCGTCATGATGATGTCCGTACCAAGTAATAAGGAGTGTTCTTTGTTGATTTATATAGTACTACTAATTTATGGGTATTAGGAGGGTTTCATTAACTATACTCCCTCGTATTTTTAATAAGTGTCGTTTTGAAAAGTTGCACAGTTATTAAGAATATTTTTTTTTTGTCAATAATAACCCTCATTAATGAGGATAGAGATGAATGCTTTGAGAAAAGATAAATAGTGAATATGAAAAGAAGTAGTGTATTTATTAGATAGATAAGGGTAATAATGGAAAAATATGTACAAAATATCCAAAACGACATTTATTTTGTAAATAGTTGATAATGCCAAAATGACATTTAAAAAGAATAGGAGGTAGTATAAAGTATCAGGCAGAGTAGGGGTGTTATCAAACCGAATTGAACCGAGATTAAGGTGTTCGAGTTTGAGGTCGACTAATTTTCGAACATGTTCGTGTTCGTTCGTTTAGTAAAAGAACAAAAAATTTCGTTTTTGTTCGTTTGTTTATTGGTGACCAAAGTCAGCATGACAAATTTAGTATCTATGAGGCTGACGTTGTAAATGGGCTTACAAATACAACAAGCCTAACTAATCAAGCCCACACTATTCTCATTGGGTCATAACGAAGAACCCCAAACGTTTTACGTTGGGCCGTTTACAATAACTTGATGGGAAATTTTCATGTATCCTACATGAAATTGAAAATATTACAAATCTACCATCCCTTAATAAGTAATTGTGTTTCCACCTAATTCTCAATATTTAATTACATTTATGGCAAAACTTCAGTTACCTAAAAAAGTGGACTCCATCCACTTTCTGTGTCCATGGCTTACGCTGTTTTCCATAAAAAAAAAAAAAACATTCAGATTACTTTTATACTATAATAAAAACATTTATTGTAATTCACGCAGCCGTCAGGTGGTATATATTGGGTTTATGTTAATATATATTCAGTATATGTTGCAATGAAAAAATATATCTTCCATCAATTTATTTTTTATTTTTTACTTTTATACATAAAAGTATATATATAGTTTATAAACATCTTATAACAGGTTGCTTTATATTACCTATACAAAAAAATATTCTAAATATACAGAACATATACTAAACATATACTCCATATACACACAATATACACCCGCAACATATACAAAAGAAAAACTATCTATCAACGAATCAAGCACATCAAATGTTCGACAATAAATCTTCTATTATACTGAACATATACTCCATATATACATAACATATACTCGCAACATATACAAAATGAAAAGGGTCTAACGCTTCCTCGTAGTGTCTCAATGCTGCCTCCGACTCTCCGCGCGGACGTCGCCACTTTAACCACCAGATCCAATAACTTTCCAGTATCCAATTCAAAACCCCCCACGCTTTCGCGAATTTCTTCTCTTTCCCAATATCGAGCCACCGCTGGATCTTCGAAACCCTCTCGGGAAGAATATGCCTGCAAAAGACGGCCTCGAAAATATCATCCATGGCGTCGAGAAGCGAGGATTCGGGGAACCCATCCCGAAGGGAGGCCAAGTCGAACCCGGTGGCCAGCAAATAAATGGCCTTCCTCGACCGAGGACCGTGATTGCCGGTGACAGAGGGGTTGGAGTTGGGCTTGGTGAAAAGATGAAGAAGTGGGTTGTGCGGTTCTTTTTACAGTGAGATAATGGTGAAAAATATGAAGATTGTGTAAATATGATTGGGATATATCTTATTCTAAGTAAATGATCTAATCACAATTAAGAGCCCGAAAATTTCTCAACTGACAATGCTAGTATATCTGTAATATTTTTGCCTTCAAATGGCAATT